ATTACACTTTGTGCATTACTAATGAAATATTGTAACCTTTCCATTGAAAGATTCATTTGCACAATGTGTTTCGTTTCCTCTTCTTATTCTACCTAGGTTTTCTCTTCATACGCTCACGTTGTCTTCTATGTTTCTCTGTGCAGAATATTTATCCATCACTCGTAATAGGCTATGATTTCTGCCGACCTCTCGCCACATACCACATATGCCCATTCTTATCAGTAACACCACTACTTTCTTTGGATAGTGACAATGCCTGATAATGTAAACTACTGTATACCATCAGTTGTTGCAAGGTATACACACTTATCTACAAGTTTCGTCGACTAAATCAAAACTATTCGAACACTGTACGTCATCAAGGTAAAGTCTACAGCGTACCTGAATATAGTCAGATCATGTAACACAACTGATAAGATCACCTAGGTTTCAGTTATACATCCTGTCCCATGAATTGTGTTTGTCTTCCTCACAGAATAAAATATGTTATCACACCATCTTACATCTTGTGTAGTTCTTCATTGTATGTACCGCATAAGATGTGAAACTTTCCACAAGTCTATTGAAATTGAACCTTTTCCCCACAGTTTGTTTAAATAACCCCGTGATGTAGTCATTTGACCGAAATTGTCCAAATTAGCATAATCATAATGAAATATATTCCTAATCGTATCAACTAGTAGTAGTTATTATTCAAATAAAATTTACTTTCCGGATATATAACATCGTATCGATTACTAAAATCCAAATCAAACTGAACAAGGCCTTCTTTGAAAGTTATCAAAATCAGTGTAATCCGAAAACCAGTTTTTTCTAGGGAAGTAATCAACTGAATCGTTGTTCTAGTTAAGTGGTAGTGATGGCTATTGGCTAGCAGTAGAAACGAAGGTTCGCATTTCGTCTTATTTAGGACTTATCAGCCGGATGTATCTAAGTTCCAATGATTGACTTTCTTCCTATTTAGACTTGAAACCATAAACCGTTAGTTCAAACGATCAGTTTGATCTAATCACAAACGGGAAACTGAGTTATAAAATCAATTGTGATCTGAATCTTAGTGTATAATTTTTCCCGTTTTGCGATACATTTCAAAAGTTAATCGTCAATGAACTTTCCCAATGACTGTTTTCAAAATTTATCAAATGGACTTATCACATGAAGAACTATCTTTGTAATAAGACTTAGATTTCAAAATTCATGTAAGCCGACGTAAACTGATGACTAGGAGTCATATGATAAGATAAAACTGTTTTTAACACTAGTTTTTAGTAGTTATTTAGTTTACATAGTTGATAGTTGACAAAACTGAGTAACTTTAAGGGCCACCCTACTGACCGATGAAACAACCGATTGCGTTTCTCTATTTTATGGAAAACTACCTTCCCACACAAAATACCGCTACCTGATTGGTTATTTTGGCAGTTGTTAGGGTGGCCTTTAAATTCGACCACAAAATCCCACCATGATTACAAAAGGGTTCTTATAGCAATAACTTTAAAGGCTAACCTAACAACGATTGAAATAACCAGTCAGATTTTGCTATCTCAGATGGAAAAGCCATTTTTAATAAAATAAGGAAATGTAATTAGGGTAGCGCTTAAAGTAACTCCTGTTTCAACGTGTTCCGATTGAGTTGGTCCTCAGAAAAGGAAACTATTCACTGTCCTAACCAAGTGTGGCAAATCTGAGCCTGAACATTATTGAAAAGGGGTAACACCGTAAAACAGAAAACGAACGTTAAAAGTGTGCGACGTAAAATAAAGGTGACGAACCAACCTGCAGAAGTTGTGATCAGTCAGTAACTGAGATGAATAAGAGATTTGTTACTTCTGTTCTACTATCATCTACTTTAATGCTGTGTTTGTAAAAGTGGGAGGGTGAAAAGCAAGTGACTTTAAAAGCCACCCTAGCAACGATAGAAATAACCAATTAGGTTACTTCATTTAGGCTGAAAAGGCAGATTTTCATAAAGTACAGTAGCGTGATTGGTCATTTCAGTTGCTGCTGGGGTGTCCTTAAAAGTCACTTGTCAGTCTATGGGGTACGGCGCCAATTCATACGATTCCTGACTGTTGATTTGAATCAACGATGTAGCTGTATGCTTCTAGTTCTAATTTGACATGAAAGAATATTGATATGATGATTGATGGGCGAATCAATCCCGAACGGATAACCGGTGTAGTTTCCAAGTCCTTAGACGGTAACACTGATTGAGATCTACTGATTAGCTTTTACAATTTAGCTACTGAGCGAACTGGCGTGTTGGTAAGTGTTGGAAATCAATCACCAGGATACCCTGCATCTAAGTTTCCAGCTTTTGATAGTCATCAGTAAGGTTTACTACAGCCATGAGGAAACTGGGCTTCCCTCGGTGATCCATATCTGCATCACTCAGAACTGAAATCAAAAAATTACCCATTATACTATTCAAACCGTTAGGACTGGACCAAGTACATGAATCAGCCATTAGTCAATGAGTTCCGCTGAAACTATCATTTAGTTCGACTAGAACTGAAACGGGGGGAGCAGATTGATGCGTTAACAATAACCTAAAGGTAGCTAACTTGATTCCTGCCATAACTTAGGCCATTACATATATAAACAGAGAGATGAATATTTGTTTTTGGTTAGCTCTATCTAAAACTACAGACGACTTTAAGAATACCTGTTTCATGTATGTAAATATGTCATATCTCAGATAATCTAATATGATAAGATTTCTCATATCGTGGTTCAGCTGTAAACCATCATACATGAACGGCTAAACGAAAAGTGCAGTTCTCAGAAAACTATCGTACTAAGACACTACATAAGACACACTATTGGACATCGATACCTTACTAACTTTATAGTATATACAAGTATACAAAAGACAGGTATCCACCGTCAATCAGTCAACGCACTTAGAAGATGATAGCGGTTTCATACGGTCTATGAAATGTAAAGCAATGTGTGGCTTAAAGGAGTGATAGAAAGAATTCATCATTGGGTTATTCCAGCATAATGTGGATTACAACCCACCTGTAACTTCAGTAATTAATGAGTGCTGAAAAAAGTCTACAATATGAAGAGTTTTTCAATTATCCTTGCTAACTGTCAGTCACATGAAACTGTCGGGAGAAAAAACCTCCCAATAAACAACGTGCTAAAGACTCTTCTATAGCATACAAATGAAATAACTTGGGGAATTTTTTAACTACAGTCAGACTACCATTCGACTATCTGGAATAGCCGCAGTTTGGCGAACTAGTATTCATACTGGGTGATGACTGAAGGTGAAATGAAAATTTGGACTGCGGTTGGACTTGAACCAGCGACCATCGGGTGTTCAACCCGATTCTCTACCAGTCAAACTACATACCATACTTGATTCTGATGCTTTTGTTGTCTTTTAACAACTAAAAACGAAGTACTAAGATTCGTAAATATTTTAGTAAAATTAACAATTATCCGAAATTCCTATAGGACAGTTGCACAGATTAAATCCCCACAATTTCTCCCTACCTTAAACCGATAATTATTCAAAATCTGCTCAGTAACCTTGGGCACACTCGTGCAGTAAGCAGTGAGAAATGTAAGGGCTGATGCTACTTCCTGACTGCCAAAACCTGGGTTGGAGGAATGGTATTCGAAACAGTGACGCATGGGTTGAAAGTCAACTCCCTAAAGCCATCAGCCACCACCTCACCGATAATCATCCGTGATACAATGATCAAATAATCTTAAGAAACAGAGCAGTATATTGTGCGCCTCAGCATGATGACATTTAAAGATATGTTGTTATTGCCTTACTGAGGAACTGGTGTCCCATAAATTTAGGGTTCCAGTTACAACAACGCTTCGACTCATATAAGTTTATCAAAACGTAGGTATTAGATGGTTAGAGGTCATCGGTAGGAAGCGCTGCTTGGTTTATCTTTCGTCCTTGTAGGCACACGTCAACAAGACATGTATGTCTGATATTGCCTAGGAGATTCATTTTGTCTCGTTTGATAGATCCACTTAATCTTAGGTTTTGGGAATCACTTGTTTACAGTTTACATTTACCCGTAGATATTCCTTAAATAAAGCAAGCAATCTTGTCTGGTGACCACTTATAGAAAACAAATATCTGGCTATCTGGACAAATCGTTTTCATTTTTCTCCAGTGGTTTACACTGGACTAATCATCTATTTATTTTCACTAAAATTTTCATCTTTTCTATCTTAGAAACCTGAAAAATATGCCTACTATTTTCGGTAGTAGTAATGGCTAGCAGCATCATGCATGATGGATATAACCTTATTTCGCACTATAGTGCTTCACACACCAATGATTTAGTCTACTGTTAGACACATTTTTCAAAAACTTCAGTAGCTCCATATAATATTTTATGAGGCATATTGTTGTTATATCAGCCGAAAAATGGGAAATGGGAATTTCAGATAAGCATTATCGGTTAAATTATTTTATTTCTTCTGAAAAATACTTTGCTTATGACCAATTTAGTAACATAATTGCTGCATAGTTGAGTTGAAGAGCTTTCGATTGGCTCACCGTCCATTAATGTATAACTAGTAGTTGTGAAATAATTTTCTGTCAAGTGAATTCAATTATCGTGTGTGAAACTTGTTTCATTTTTATGAGCAAGTTCATCTCCTATTATAGCAGCAGCAACTGCAACAACAGAAATGGATGAAGGATCAATGGGAACCGCTTCAGTCGAGTTTTCCATTTCTCGGCCAAAATAATATACACTTTCGTTTAAGATATAAAAGCAACCGTAATCCCAACATTCTGCGGACTGTAGGTGTGGATCACAATATTCCACAGCCAGGTCATTCTAAATAAGCCAATCAAATTCAAGAGTTAATTTTCACTCCAGACGATGGTGTTTACATTTCTTAACCAATGAATATTAAGGCTAGTTAGCCGTTTCAATACCTTGATTGGTTAATCATTTCATAAGTTTCTTTACATGCTGAAGAAAGTCAAATATTCAACCAGACTGACGTATATAGCAAAATACTTTGGCCTGTCTGTCCTAATGTCTAAATCCTCTACAATTGGATTGCCTAAACTCTGAATAAATTATAAACACAGGGGGTGTATAGCATGAGCAATTTTGTTCCTACTTGGTAGTTTGAAGACATTATACATTTCACTGATGAAGATGTATGCTATCACATCTTTCCTCTTTCCCTTCGCGTAGAATTCGCCAAATTCATCTCTATCTCGCAATTGTACATTTCTTAATTAACCAATAAGCTTGCACATATTTATCCCTAACAGATACAATCAGCTACATTACTAAGCTAGCCCCCATGATTTGACCAATTCATGCCCCACACTCACCACTTCATGATGTCAAATCTACTAGGAGTGAATTTCTCCGCCTTATTTATCAATCACATATGAATATTATGGATGTATAAATTCTGGCGAAGAAAAGGAATGCACACTAATACATATCCTCTGTCATACTGTTACTCTCTTTCTAATCATTACAACTAAAAATAGGATATAATAGAACTTCCATTGAGAGGATTACATAAAATGCTTAGCTATATCAAATTTCAGATGGAATAATAATAAGGTTGACCATTTTATTCTTCAGAAAAGAACGAATCTATTCATTACACCAAAGTATGTTCATTATCCGGTGAGTACTTGTAAATTATATTCACGCTGTTTTTTTCCCCCTACATTGCGTCACCATGAAATACTTACCACGTTTTATGCACTTGTTATACTTCTCAGTTCATCTATTGAACAGCAATTAATATTATTGTTTTAAAAAAATATTTGAATTTAAATCGATAATTCTACTAATTGTAATAATAATGATAATAATATCCGTTTGAGAAATATCCGTTTGGTTAGCATCATTTTTAACGTTGCGCAATTATTTGAGGAGGAAAAAAACGCTGCAATTTTTGAAACTACTATCATGCATTTTCGTCTGCTTTTATTAAAGAAAAGATTAGGCTGTACACGCATCTCGCCACAATCTGCGTTTTCATGTTATCTTCAGTTCACCCAGTATCAATAATACTTTTCTGCCCAACCACATCTCAAATAGTCTAATTCCTTGGTTGTACGGTGCTTCCCGTCTCTAAGTCATCTCGATCTGGATTGAGGTGAAACCTAGCTGGACAATCATTGTGATTAAAATGAACGAATTTATATGGTAACCGAGAAAAATTCTTACTAAGTGAAGGGAAGACAAAACTTGTTCATCATTTAAGTCTCGTAGCTCAGTTAGGAGAGCTGGTAACTTGGGGATCAGTTGTTCAAATCTTTCTGCCAACCAGATTTTCATTTCACCTCCAATCATCCATCACTGTAAATAACACTAGTTTACCAAAGGAAAGCTATCTCAGATGATTTCATTAACATGCACTGTATAAATCATATTCCTGTTGAACAGCTGTTCATTAATAAACGTATTTGTAAATATGATGTTGGAAGCAGTTGGCAAAAAGATTTGCTTCGTGTAGGCTTCGCACGTCTTGGCAACCACCAGCAATGTTTATCGTCACGCTGAAGAAAATCTGTGACCTGTCTGTTTTCTGATGGGACCTGCCACAGTAATCTTTACAGTGAGATATGTATGTTATTCGGGTTACTGATGATTTTCATCAAGACCCTGGTGATGACTTATTTTTATCGATCGAAATTATTTTATTTTATTTTTTAGGTTTTGTACCTTTTACATTTGTCAGATATCGTTCTAACTTACAGTACTAACTGGTTAACAAATTTCACTGCTGGTTATGTTCTCTGAGCTGGGTGGTTTAATGGTTATGCTTTCGTTATCTTTCTAGACGATATCATCAGCGATTCACCTTCATAATGAAGTTAATCCCAAGATCGTCCACGTGAGCTAAAAATATTCTCCACTAGTTCAAGATTTCCTTTCTTCATTAATAGACTTCATTAATCACACCATTGTAGGTAGCAGCCTCAGTTGGCGAAATGATCTGTGTATACATGAATGATGACGTTGCTTGAAAGAAAACATGTGGAGCTGTGACTCAAGGTTTTTGGGAGGTGACTATTAACCACTGGGTGACGGGTCGGAGCCCCGCTCCACCTACTGAGATTTAGGCAGCCAGGTGGTATCACTATCCCTCACACAATGTATTAGGTTTATTGCATACTCCAAGGATGTGCACAAGGTGCCTTAGTACAGTCCTCGGGTTCTCTGGATAAGCTTATACTATAATGCAATTGCTGGTTTGTAGGAATTGACTGATTCTAAAGTCTCCATCACAGACTGAAGTTGGTTAGAGAGTCACCTAAAATCTGTAAGCACTGTAAATCTGATTCGTCCTTTGTGTTTTGGACTCCATATTAACCACTGGGGGACCGAGGGTCTGGTGGTATCTACTACCATTCAGTTATTCAGTTGGAATCCACTGATCCACTATTTCTAGTGTAACCAACATTAAATGTTCTCGATTAGTATTTATCCTCATACTCTACTTGGTTTACCCCACAGGTCATAACATCTCATTACGACCTCAAGAAATCCGTCTCTGAGCAAGTTGCTAACCAGCAATGAATAATAGCTGAGAAAATTTAAAATATACTTCACTTTTAAGTACAACCAAGAAATGAGTTGAGCTTGAACTGTAACTTCCACTGGAAACAAATCAACTGGGATTTTCTGTATCACATAAATTTGTTCACGATTCACTCCGCATGACATTTCAAACCATATACTAATATTTCTGGAAGAACAGTTCTTGAAACATGTTTGACATTCATTTAAATTCAGACTTTCAGTTTGGAGAATATGGTCAACTGGCTTATTTGCAACTTCATCTTCAGACTCGTCTCTTTCTGCATTACTATTCACTAGATGGACTATCTGTCGTTTATGCTAATACGGGTGGATACGTGCCTTTCCAAATGATATCAGTCCATAATGAATACTCCCTTGAAATAAATAAAAAACCCTTAAACTTCGAACTACATTACTGCATAGTGCTTATTAATGTCAGGTTTCTTGATAGATATCCTGAAGTTCTCATGAGAAACAGTGAGCTGTGGTGTCAGCCACTTGGAAGATAGGCGGATGCCAACTAAACTCCTTTGGTGGAAGTAGGAAACTAGGAATCACTGAAATCTGATCCAGTGACTGAATGGTTACTGCGTTCGTCGCGAGATATTAAAGTCCTGAATATATTCCATAGGGGTTATGGGTGAGTACTGCCGAGACATCCTGTATTAGGATGAAACAGGTATCCAGTGCTCCCAGGTTTTCAGTTGTTCTACAAGTGATGTTAGTCCGGAGACTGATTTTTTTTCGTTATAATGCATAAATTGCCTATACTCAAGGTGAATGTAATTTGCTATATTGAACCAAATGACTTGAAGAACTGTACCATCTTTATTGTTTTTTATTTCCAACATTTTACTTGTTTGTTGCTTCCCTTCACCGAATTTTGTTGTTAAAGTTATCAGCGTTTTTTTAGCAGTGATATAATTAGAAATCTGTTCATCTTTTATGCATCAAAATGATTTATTTGATACATTATACAGTGAACATGGCATTGTTTATTAGACACCCAGTAAGTAATGTCGTTTTAATGTGTCAAAAATATACTAATCTAGTGTCAAATTATGCTCGAACTCATGATTCTCTCCTCATAGCTTAGTGGCCAACCACGTTACAACGAAACAGATCGACAGAATTGCGTCAATACTTAGGACTAGACGAGCAATATATCTAGTCTACTTCTACAAAAGATAAGTCACCGCTTAGATAGCGCATTGGCTGACTGAAGCACTGAGTGACGTGAGCTTGAACCATAGAGAGAGAACATCATTTCACTTGAGGTTGCAGATACATCTTCCTGATAAGTGCAATTAAGGGTTTTCTGTTTGTCGCCTCCAACCAACTAACATTATTCTCTCTTTTGAAAGTTATTTGTCTGTTAAATATTTCAAAGGTTTTCCTTGAGCGTACCTGTTATTATGAAATACATGATTTTGTTGACTTACAGACATTACATTTTCGTTGTACACTTTATGTGTACGGTTGAAATCTCTGAGAGATATATGAGGAAACTAATGATATTTCACACATGTTTTAACTAATAGTAAACTCAGAGATTTTTTATCTACTAGACCATTCTCACTACCCAGTTCTACACACTTGTGATCATTTAGTAAACACAAATTAGTGCTTTCATAGGAGGATGTAGCCTCCAAGTACTTAGTACTGTATAGCTTTGAATGTTTTTCTCAAGCTGATATCGGTTCGTTTTTGGAACTAACTTTTAGCTTATCGAAAATTCCTTAATTCATTACCACAGATCAATGTTTATTAAGTGTTTGTTACGAGAACACAATTTGCCTTGCTTGATATCAGTTTTGTGTTTATTTGTACTTTAACATAAGGAGGTATGTCCAACTTACAGACAGTTACTAAACTCAACACTTGAAGGAGGTGGTAATAACGACGAAAGCTAAGTTCAGAACACACTGAGAACTACTTCCACCTGCTCACTATCAAATATGGTGTACTGTAGTGTTGAATCCCTAATCGTAAGAGTAAACCTTGGAAATTTGATCAAAGAAGTTTCCATAGGGCCACAGAACTAGGAGATATGAGATCAATATTAGCTGTTATTATCTCTATGCTGATGGTTTGGATGATGGCTGTGGTCTTAAACTCATTTTGAGTTTCCTATTAGGTTATGTGATTAACAGAGTGAAGAGAATGCCCAATGCTGATCTGAACTATTATAATTTCGCGATTTAGTATGTGCGACTTCATCCACATCAACTGACTGAGGGAGAAAATGAAGTTAGCCTGTTAATCCACACAAAGCAGAGTTATTTGTATTTAGAAAAATGTATAGGAAGTTTATAAGTGACTCTATAGGCAGACCTAGTAACAAGTGAAATGACTGATTTTACGATAATCTTTACGATGATCCTAAATGAAAAAATCTAATGGTTGTCAGGATCAACTTTAAAGTTGCCCGAACTTTACACTATCTTAAAAGCGTAGGCAGCCTATCAGGCCATCAGAGAATAAGAACATTAATAGACGTAAGAAGGATATTCATAATTGTTTAGTTCCAGCTCTCTAACACTGACTATGGATACAACATGATTAGTACACCCAACTTGGGTTCGAAGGCGAATTTTCCAGGGTCAGCATTTGATAACAAATTAGTTTGTAACGTATAAAGTCATCTTTATACATTCAATTTGGCATGAGTTAGTATGCTATTAAAACTGATAAATTATTTTAAAATTTGACCAACTCTAGAGACCATCTTAACAATAACTAAAAAAACCAATAAGATTTTTTATTTCGAATGGAAAGGCAAATTTTTATAAAATTCTTCATTTCAGTTGTTGCTAAGATGGTGTTCAAAGCCAATCAAAACTTTCCTGCATCAATTTTGTAGTCTAGTTAGCTTAGACACTCTTATATCCATTTAAAGGAATTTATTTTTTACCGAAATATAAAACATCAGAGATACAAAGTTGATATTTTTTGCTGACAGTACTTTTCGAAACGTTACCAGACAAAACAATATAACTATTGATTGTCATTTTGTCTGATAGCCGTAGTTTCGCAGACTAGTAGTAATACTCGGTGATGATTGAAGGTGAAGTGAAAATTTGGACCGCGGC